TTTAGAATCTCAGTAGTTTACAGGAATGTCAAACCAAAAAGTTTGAGAATCACTCATCTGTTTTTATGTCTTGATATCTAATGGATAATACATCTTGGTTATGTGTGCCCTGGGCCCTGTGTATTTCTCCACATACATTTTGGAATCAGCTATGATGTTCCACAAGAATACCTGTTAGGATTTGGATTGGAATTGTGTTGAATCGGTTTGGAATAATTGAAATTTTTTTGTTTTGTTTTTAGTTATACCTGCTGTAATGGGAATTTGAAATCTTTGTACCATTGAATCTTCTGATTTATAAACATTATTTCTCCATGTGTTTTGGTCTTTAATTTTTTTCTCAATATTGTTATATAATTTTCTATATAATGATTTTGCACATTTTCCAAACAATTTTTGAAGGAAAAAATTGTACTTAGAACTAAACTGGCCAGGCACAGTGGCTCATGCCTGTAATTCCAGCACTTTGGGAGAGAGGCCAAGGTGGGAGGATCACTTGAGTCCAGGAGTTTGAGACCAGTTTGGGCAACACATTGAGACCCTATCTCTACAAAGAAAAAAGTAAGATAAACTTAATAATCAACAAGAATTAACAAGAAAATGAAAGATATTTCTGAAAAATATTATAGAACTTTACTGAAGTTCATAAAATAATTGAATAAATGCTAAAACATATTTTGTTCTTGAATAGGATAGCGCTCACATTGATAAGATGTAAGTATCCCCTCAAAGTTGCAGTATTTTATATTGTTAGAAAGACATCTTTTTTTTTTTTTTTAACCTTTCATGATTTCTAAAGTTAAGGTATGCCTTAAAACTGGTGATATCTTCCAGATACTTCTGGCCATGTGGTAATTGTGAAGTTAGTTTAGGAGCATCTTAACCAATTTGTTTTACATAACTTTCTTTTCATTATAAGCACATCAAATGTGATATGAATACAGAAGTGTTTAAAGAAGCTCTTTCAATTGGCATAAAATAACTGTGCATCTTACATTTAAAATGTCTTAAATTTAGTGAAATAGGCCAGGCACAGTGGCTCTCGCCTATAACCCAGCACTTTGGGAGGCTGTGGTGGGAGGATTACTTGAGGCCAGGAGTTGGAGACCAGCCTGGGCAATATAGTGAGATGCCATGTCTGAGGGGGGGAGGGGTGAAATATATATATACACATAGTAAAAAATATATGCATGTATATACACACACATATAATTTGTGAATTTAAAGTAATCCCAATTAATATCTCAATAGGCTTTTCAAAACTTGATTCTTAAGTTTATATGAAAGAACAAAAATTATGAAACTCTATTCATAAAGGGGGTATTAGTGCTGTCAAATATTAAAGTGTATGTTGAAGCCAAACCAATTTGAGCATCAGATCACGGGCGGAGAGTTGAGAGCACTGAAGTAGCCTCATTTATCAGAATGTTTTGTGTGGTCAACAGTGGTATAAGATGAAAATAGTGAATTCTTTAGTAAATAGTATTGGATGAACTGAGTAGCTATTTGGGAAAAAAGAGAACTAGCTTGCTCTCTCACTTTTTTTTCTTTCTTTCTTTTGATATGGAGTCTCCTCCTCGCCCAGGCTAGAGTACAGTGGTGTGATCTCGGCTCACTGCAACCTCTACCTCCCAGGTTCAAGTGATTCTCCTGCCTCAGCCTCCAGAGCAGCTGGGATTACAGGCATCCATCACCATGCCTGGCTAATTTTTTTATTTTTTAGTAGAGACAGGGGTTTCACCATGTCAGCCAGGCTTGTTTTGAACTCCTGACCTCAAGTGATACACCCGCCTTGGCCTCCCAAAGTGCTAGGATTACAGATGTGAGCCACCAAGATCACACCACTGCATTGTACTCCACTCCAGCCTGGGTGACAGAGCAAGACTTCTCATCTTAAGGAAAAAAAAAAAAAAAAAAAAAAAAAAGACAACTTAGACATGGCAAAAACTCTATTATAAACAAAACTGGGACTCCAGTGATAAGCTGGGAAAAAGTAGTTGCCATACAGCATGGTCAAAGGGCTAATTTCCTTTACAAAGCAGGATCGCTTGCTGATAGAAAAGGCCAACAGCTCAGTAGATACGTGGGGACATTAGAGACAGTTCAAAGGAAAGACAAGTGGCTTTCATACATAAATGTATGAAATGTTCCTCAGTTTCAGTCATTATAAGAGAAAAGCAAATTGAAACTATACTGAAAGCATTTTAAAAAATATCCAATTAGCCAAGATTAAGAACTTTGATTACTGTTGGCTAAGGTGTAGGAAAATAAAAAAAAAAACTTCCGTATATTAATGGTAAGATTTCAAATTCTATGGAGAGCAATTGAATAATATTTTTTAAAATTTAAGAATGAACATACCTTGTGTAGTATAGATAAGTTTAGATAAGTTGTGATGTATTTACATAATGGGATACTACAGAGCAAGAGTGAATGAATTACAATTCACACAACGTGAGTGACTCACAAACATAATGTTAGGTGAAAGAGCCAAACACATAAATACATGTTCAAAAACAGACAAAATTGTTGTGTTAGAAGTCAGGGTAGTATTACTCTTGGTGAGCTCACTGGATGGAGACATGAAGGGCTTTTGGAGGCTTATAGTCTTTATTTTTTGTTTTTTGTCTGTGTTAGGTGGGATTGAGAAAATTCATTGAGCTATGAACTTAAGAATTATGTACTGTTCTGAATGTATGCTATACTTTATGTAAATAAAAATAGCTTGCATACATGTAGTCACACATAAAGAATGCACATGACTTTTGTTTTAGCAGTTTTATCCTAGGCATATAACATATTTACACACACTCTTGAATATGTGGAGGTTAAAAATAGCACAACGGAATTCATTGCTGTGTTTGTAAGCACAAAAGTTCATACAAAACCTAATTACTCATAAGTAGGGAACTAGTAAAATAATTGATATCATCATATAGTGAATCAGTAGCAGCTCTTTAAAGGAGTAAGGCAGCTTGATATGAAGTAATGTAGTAAAGTCCCTAAGGTATAGTAAATGAAAAGATCAAAGTGCATGAACAGTACATGTAGTATGCTGCTATTTGTGTATGGGTGTGTTTTATCTCAAAAGGCATATATTTGCAAGCATATATAGATAGAATATATTTGGAAAGACTGTCCTAACACTGGCTGTCTCTGAGGAGTGGAAGTGAGTGGCCAGAAGGCACAATTATGTGATACTTTCTATACTAATTTGTGGCTTAATTTTTTTTTTTTTTTTTTTTTGAGATGGAGTTTCGCTCTTGTTACCCAGGCTGGAGTGCAATGGCGCGATCTTGGCTCACCGCAACCTCCACCTCCTGGGTTCAGGCAATTCTCCTGCCTCAGCCTCCTGAGTAGCTGGGACTATAGGCACGCACTACCATGCCCAGCTGATTTTTTGTATTTTTAGTAGAGACGGGGTTTCACCATGTTGACCAGGATGGTCTCGATCTCTTGACCTCGTGATCCACCCGCCTCGGCCTCCCAAAGTGGTGGGATTACAGGCTTGAGCCACCGCGCCCGGCCGTGACTTAATTTTTAAAAAAATTTTAATTGTGATAAAATGCATTTACCAAAACTTACTACCTTAAACATTTTTAAGGGTACAGTTCAGTAGTGTTAAATATATTCATATTGTACAACCAGTCTCTTTTTCATGGCCATTAAACTAGTATTTAATACTTCCTTCTGCCCTCGGCAATCACAATTCTACTCTGAGTCTATAAATTGGACTACTCTAGATAGCTCATGCAAGTGGAATCATATACTGTTTGTCATTTTGTAACTTGTTTGTTTAAATGAGCACAATGTTCTCAAGGTTGATACTATTTTGTGACTTCTGAATTCTGTACATTGTTCATTTATTAGCCATTTTGAAAAGAGCATTAAAGTAAAAATACATGACATTATTCAGAGCTGGTTAATTACATGGTAAAAAGTTGATGGCTGGTGTGTCTCTTTCATTTCAACCAATACTAAATGCCAGTTTGGGCAGGAAAACAACTTTATGCCAAAGCACCATTTGAAGCTGGGTTTATGACATGTTTCTCCTTTTGTCCTGTATGGGTACCCCCCAAATGCAGGCTCAAGTCCCCAGCCTCTTGTCTCAGCTCAACAGTTTCCTCCCTTGGCTTACTGTCCAACTTTGGACTGCACTTCCAAATCTACCTCTTTTCCCCAGGAACAGGCTGCTTCTATGCCAAGGGTATGGCTTCTTCCTTGCAGATTTTCCTCACATCTCTGACCTGGAAAAAGCGGGGGGGTGGGGGTGGGAGGGTCCATTCTAGCTTTTTAGTGCTCCTTTGAGATCATTATTCTGGAGCCCTCTGCAATAATATTGTTTCTCATGGATTGAAATTCATGGTTTCCAGTAGGATTTTTGACTAGATGTGGGAACAGAAGAACGAGTTGCAATGACTGTGAATCTTAGAGGAGGACTGGGTATCATTAACTGACACAGAGGGAGACAAGGTGTAGGTGGAAGATACGTGACTTGCTTTTGAAAATAGTGGTATGAGAGGTTCTGGCCTACAAAAACAGCTGGAGTTATGAGCTAGAAATGGGGACTTAAAAAATAGGTGTGTGTGTGTGTGTGTGAATGCACACACATGTATGTATTGAAAATACAGAAAAATAAGACAATGTTACCCATAAAACAGATCATCATTCTTAACACTTTAAGTGGATTAACTTCTTTTTTCCTCTGGCTGTATGTGTATGAAAATATTTTTATAGCCAACATGGTGGCTCATGCCTGTAATCTCAGCATTTTGGGAGGCTGAGGCTGGTGGATCACTTAAGGCCAGGAGTTCGAGACCAGCCTGGACAATAGTGAAACCCCATCTGTATTAAAAATAGAAAAATTAGAGCTGGGCTTGTTGGCATGTGTCTGTAGTCTCAGCTACTCAGGAGGCTGAGACATGAGAATCACTTGAACCCCTGAGGCAGAAGTTGCAGTGAGCCAAGATTGTGCCACTGAACTGCCTGGATGACAGAGCAAGACTCTGCTCAATACACACACACACACACACACACACACACACACACACACACGCACGCGCGCGCACACACAGACATTTTAAAATGTAGAAATTGTATTTTGTATTCACCTTTTTTCTCCTTCTGTGAATGAAGAAGTCCAAGGCCAGTCACATAGCTACTTCTGTTAAGGGCCCCAAAAGAGGTCCTGAATGAATTTGTGGAACTTGTTGAAATTTCACAGGGTGAAGTCCTATAGAGATGTAGAAGAAAAAGTGGCAAGAATAGGATTTTGGAAACATTCCTAATCTTCCTAAAACTTTGAGGATTCAAGAATCAGAAATCATAAAGAGGTAGAAGAATTAAGAGTTCAGTGTCAAACTAAGAAGAGTAGAGCAAATTCCAAGAAAAAAGGAAGAGAAATATTCTTTGGTGTTTTAAAGAGGTAGAGCTTGATGAAGACTAAGACTTGAGATACTAAACTGAGGGTGTAGTGGCATGCACATCCTTTTAATCCCAGTGCTTTGGAAGGCCTAGGTGGAAGGATGCCTGGAGCCCAGGAGTTTGAGGCTACAGTGAGTTATGAACCACTGCACTCCAGCTTGGGCGAGAGGGAGAACTTGTCTCGAAACAACAATAAGATACAAAATTGAGAAACTGTTACTTGAATATATATTCTGTCCAGCAGTGATGGAATAACAAGGAATAAATTTACCTTGCTATTTTAAGTAACTAGAAAACTGGACAATATATGAAATAGCAATTTGTAATCCATTGGGTAATAGGCAACAGAAGACTGTGGTCACTGAAAGGTGGGAAACAAACCTGCTGAGTTCAAGGGTTGTTCCAGTTTATTATCTGGAGGTAGTTTTCAGGGTGCAGAGCAGGGATGGGGAACCAAAATTAAAGCCTTGTGTCTTACTGAATTGAGAGGACAAGATGGGGATTGGCAGGGAGGGAAGATTGTCATAATTTGTGGGGCAGAGTACCAGAGACATGGGAGTTGTACACAAAACTCCAGAGGCAGGTGGAGGATTTCCCTGAAGTCAGGTTGAGTCCTGATTTACACATGCATGAGAGGAGAGCACCTGAGACCAGAGAAAGAACCCTACTGAAAAGCAGCAGGCCAAATGATTCCTGGAACTCACACAGAGCTAGGAATAGTCTGTGTTGCCATTAGCCAGAGTATACACAAGGGCATCAAAAGGGCATGACCTTTTTTAATGAGGCTAAATTAGCCCTAAGTTAAAGGGTACTTTGGACCTACTCTAACAAAGAAAAAGCAAGTCTTGGAAGATCCAGTCGATTTAAAGAATCTTACCTGTGTGTGAGAACAAAGTTCAGTGCTATTTAAGGAAATACACAAAATCTAAAACACGAAACTCACAATGTTAAGCATTCAGTAAAATGACCAGGCATGCAGAAAACCAGGAAAATATGACACAATCAGGAGAAAAATCAGCTAGATCCAGAAATGACAGAGATGATGAAATTTACAAAGACATGAAAACAGCAATTACAAATATGTTCTTGGTTCAAAAAAAAAAAATAGAGGAAATGGTTAACATAATGGGAAGAGAAGTAGACGGTATATTTTTAAAAGACCCAAACAGAACATTTAGAGTTGGAAATAAATTTTAAGGTACAACGATGGCATTAACAGTAGTTGAGGCACTGCGCATCAGTGAACTTCAAGACAGCAATAGAAACTGTCCAAAATGAGAACAGAAAGAGAAATGGAAAAATTGATAGAGCATCAATGACTATAACAAGCACAATTGTTAGAGACAAAAACAGTCTGACATGTATGTAATTGGAGCCCTAGAAAAGAGGGAAAGGGGAGAACAGAAAAAAGATTGTAAAAAATAATGACCAGGAAATTTCCAAATTTGATGAAAACTATAAGCCTACATATTTAAGAATCCCAAGGAGAATAATTATAAAGGTAACCACACCAAGGCACATCATTATCACATTCTTGGCAACTAATAATAGAGAAAATCTTGAAAGCAGTCAGAGAAAGAATACACATCGTGTACAGAGTAACAGAGATAAGAATGACAGCAGACTTCTCATCAAAAATTTAACAAAATGCAATGGAGAGACCTCTTTAATTTTTTTTTTTTTTTTTTGTCTGAGACAGAGTCATCCTTGCTCAGGCTAGAGTGCAGTGGTGTGATCTCGGCTCACTGCAACCTCCGCCTCCTAGGTTCAATTGATTCTCCTGCCTCAGCATACCAAGTAGGTGAGATTACAGGTGCATGCCACCACATCTGGTTAATATTTTTGTATTTTTAGTAGACATGAGGTTTCACTATGTTGGCCAGGCTGGTATCAAACTCCTGACCTCGTGATCTGCCTGCCTCGGGCTCCCAACCAAAGTGCTGGGATTACAGGTGTGGGCCACTGTGCCTGGCCTGGAGAGACATCTTTTTTTTTTTTAAAAAAGCCTACTGGGGCTGGGTACAGTGGCCAACACCTCCAATCTCAGCAGTTTGGGAGGCTGAGGCAGGAGGATTGCTTGAGTCCAGGAGTTTGAGACCAGCCTGGGTGGCATGGCAAAACCCCATCTCTACAAAGAATGCAAAAATCAGCCAGGCATGGTGGTGCACCTGTGGTCCCAGCTCCTTGGGAGACTGAGGTGTGAGGATCGCTTTAACCCAGGAAGCAGAGGTTGCAGCGAGCTGTGATTGAGCCGCATTACACTTTAGCTTGGGTGACAGAGTGAGACTGTGTCTCAAAAAAAAAAAAAAAGGCTGGACGCAGTGGCTCACGCCTGTAATCCTAGCACTTTGGGAGGCTCACCTGAGGTCAGGAGTTCAAGACCAGCCTGGCCATCATGGTGAAACCCCATCTTTAAAAAAAAAAAAAAAAAAAAGCCCTATTGGAACTTGTTGCTGGCAGGCCTCCACAAGAAATGTTGAAGTTGTTCAGGTAGAAGGCAAATGACAAAGGGTTGAGAAGTACTAGAAATGGTAAGTATAGAAGTAAAATTAAGACAATTTTTTTTTCTTTTTTAATCTCTTTAAAAGATTGTTGTATTGAAGGTGACTGCTAACAATACAGGATTTCCCTTTTATGTGATGGAAATGTTCTGTAATTAGTGGTGATGGTTGCGCAACATCATGAATTAAAGAAATAGTAGCTTTAGAAAGATAGTTGTTTAAAGCAAAAATAATAATGCATTATCAGTTTTATAATGGAGTAAAAGGCATGACAACAGCACAAAGAATGGAAGGGGATGGGAACGGTATAAGAAACTTTACTGAGGCTTTATTTATTTATTATTCATTTATTTATTTGACAATATCACTTTGTTGCCTAGGTTCTATTTATTTATTTATTTGACAGAGTATTGCTTTGTTGCCCAGGCTGGAGTGTGGTGGCACAATCCCTGCTCACTGAAACCTCTGCCTCCTGGGTTCAACAATTCTGCCTCAGCCTCCCAAGTAGCTAGGATTTCAGGTATGCACCACCACACCCACCTAATTTTTGCATTTTTAGTGCAGGTGAAGTTTCACCATGTTAGCCAGGCTGGTCTTGAACTCCTGACCTCAAGTGATCTACCTTACCTCAAGTGATCCACCTTCCTCAGCTTCTCAAAGTGCTGGGATTGCAGGCGTGAGCTACCATGCCTAGCAGAAACCTTAGTAAGGTTCTTAAGCTATACATGAAGTGGAATTGTCAAATTTACATCTAGAAAATTAAAACAATTTCTGTTCCCACTTCAAATGTGTGGGAGTGCCAGTTTAACCATGTCCTTGTCCATGTGTGGTATTCTTTTAAAAACATGGCCATCCAGATGTTTTTAAAAATTTGATTACCCGAGACACCAAATCATCACCATGCTTGAGGGATACTTTATCTCTGAAACCTTTGAAATTCTATCAGAATCTCTTTGCCTTAAATTTTGCTAAAACATAAAATGTATACATTTATTTTTTTCCTTTCCTTCCCTTCCTACTCCCTTTCTTCATAAGCCTAGTTTTCTTCAGTAATTTATTGCTCGATGCTCAATAAATTTGTCAAAAAAACAGTTTTCTTTCTATACACAGTATTAGTAAGGTTGATCTGCATATTTCTGACATTTTTTTTCTTTCATCTTGTTAATCTATTTTGTCTTTTTGATTCGAGTAGTAGGATAAATCATTTGCTGATTTTTTTATGTTACTAACTTTTGTTTGGTTATATTTTATCTGCTGCTTATTGCTTCTATTGCTGTTTTAAATTTGGCAAATCATGCTTTTTATCTCTGAAAATCTTTTCATCTCTGAAATCACTGTAAGACTGTCAAGTTTTTAAATCTTTTTTTCTGCTCTAGGGCATTTAAACTTTAATATTAGTGTGTTTAAAACCCCTTAGGACTGGGAAATAAAAGAAAATGGAGTACACATTTCTTCTTCAATCCAGCCACCTCAACACACAATTAAAATCTGGTATTGGTGCTGGACACAGTGGCTCACGCCTTTCATCCCAGCACTTTGTGAGGCAGATCCTGTGAGCCCAGAAGTTTGAGACCAGCCTGGGCAACACGGTGAAACCCCATCTCTACAAAAAATTAGCCACACATGGTGGCTTGTGCCTGTAGCCCCAACACTCGGGAGGCTGAGGTGGGAGGATTGCTTGAGCTTAGGAGGATGAGGTTGCAGTGAGCTGTAATTGTACTTCAGCCTGGGTGACAGAGCAAGACCCTGTCTCAAAAAAACAAAAAGTATCATGAAATTTTTATTAGTATAAGTTAGGTCTACGAGTTTTATTTGCAAAGATTACCATGTGTGAGTAATCTCTAGACATTTTTGACTTCCTGGCCTGTTTTGTAAGACCCCCCAAAAATAGAGAACGGGATCAGAAAAATAAGCAAAGCTTGAATACACACTGCCATTTTTGATAAGACCACAAATTCAGAACTTGAAATAACTGGAGTTATTTCTTACCTTAATTACATTTTGGTGTTTTGCCCTCAGGACTGAGAAATGAATGTGAGTTCCTGTTCCCTAGGAGTCCAGTCTAATGCTAGACATACATGGCAATAAGCATAGTTAATGCAACAGAAATCAGTGGTGTGAAGGTAAAGTGTAGAGACCCATAATTCAAGGTTGATGTTTTCCATGGAGGGGCCAGCATGCGTTTTATGCAGAATGAAGGACATTTGAGATTTCATTTTGGGGTAATAGGAGATTTTAACCTGGGATTGGTTAAAAAAAAATCACAGAGCAATGCTTATGCTCAGGTTGGAAACCTTGAATTTGTACTGGTGCTAATTATGGGTTTTTTTCCTAGTAGTGTTTACTGCCCCTATACAGGGGTAGAAAATGAAACTCTTGTATTTAATCAAGATAGGTGATTTGAAGGAAAATGGGACTGAGTAAAATAGTGCTTTATAATCGGCCCCAGTTTTCGGGATAAGACTGCTAGAGACTTGTTACTTTTCACTTTATAATGTGAAATTAATCATTAAAATTTTTTTTTTTTTTTTTGAGACAGAGTTTCGCTGTTGTTGCCCAGACTGGAGTGTAATGGCATGATCTCGGCTCACTGCAACCTTCACCTCCTGGGTTCAAGCAATTCTCCTGCCTCAGCCTCCCGAGGAGCTGGGATTACAGGCATGCACCATCATGCCCAGCTAATTTTTGTATTTTTAGTAGAGACGAGGTTTCACCTTGTTGACCAGGTTGGTCTCGATCCCTTGACCTCGTGATCCACCCGCCTCGGCCTCCCAAAGTGCTGGGATTATAGGCGTGAGCCACTGCGCCCGGCCAATCATTAAAATCTTAAGTAAAAATGGAGGTTTTTGGCCAGGCACGGTGGCTCATTTCTGTAATCCAAGCACATTAGGAGGCTGAGGCGGGTGGATCCCTTGAGATCAGGAGTTCAAGACCAGCTTGGTTACCAACAGGGTGAAACCCCATCTCTATTAAATATACAAAAGTTAACCCAGTGTCTTGGCTCATGCTTGTAATCCCAGCTACTTGGGAGGCCAATGCAGGAGGATCACTTGAACACAGGAGACAGAGGTTGCAGTTAGCCAAGATCACACCACTTCACTCCAGCCTTGGAGACAGAGCAAGATTTCATCTCAAAAACAAACCAAACATACATGGTATGTTTCAGCTCGTTGCACTTACTCTCCTCGTCAAAGCTCACATTGTCCCTTTTGTAGACTGTGGTGCCACTTCTGCTTGGCTCTTGGGCCTTCTAACAATCCTGTTTATGCTTAGTTTCCTTGTTGCCCAGTGTGACAGGATGTTCTTGTTCTTGGCTTCTCTTGCATATTTCCTGCCCAGCCACTTTTCCAAGGAGAATGTGGATGTTTAAAACAAAAACAAAGTTTCATTGTCCCAGTTGCATCCCAAACCAGCTTAATCAGAATCCCTGGTGGGGATAGGGTCCAGATACAGACAGGGTCCCCAGGTTGGAGTGCAGTGGTGGGATCTCAGCTCACTGCAACCTCTGCCTCCTGGGTTCAAGTGATTCTTCTGCCTCAGCCTCCTGGGTAACTGGGACTACAGCGGTGAGCCACCACTCTCAGCTAATTTTTGTATTTTTAGTAGAAATGGCATTTTGCCATCCTGGCCAGGCTGGTCTCCAATTCCTGACCTCAAGCGATCCGCTCACCTGGGCCTCCCAAAGTGCTGAGATTACAGGCATGAACCACCACAGCCCGCCAGGATATTTTTAAAAAGCATGCCCAGCCTTGGATGGAAAACCACTTGAGAGTATGCTGCCTTATCGGGCTCTGTAAATGCCTTATCTCTGCACAAGGCTGGAAGTTTGAGTGGAGTCCTTGACTAAAGCTGTCATTGCCCCATGGTGACCTTTCTTCCCTCTTCTGCTTAAAGCTTGTGTTTCAGAATTTTGACTTGAATTCATCTGAGTTGAAAGCCAGGCTTGATCTGTCATCCCAGGACTCTGTGTCGGTCCCTTTCCTTGCCTGTATGTTGAGTTGGGGCTCATCTTCGTGCCTCTGAGAAATGTTTTTTGATAGCTTGCTTAGAGTCTCTCAGTACTTTCCCTTGCCCTTAGAATGAATACCAAAATACATGGCCTGTAGTGTAGACTGTGCACAGCCTTCAGTGTAGACTGCTCAGGCCCCGTCTTGGTTCCTGGAGTGTGCCATGCCTCCTTCTACCACCCGGCCTTTGCACATGCTGCTGTCTGCTGGGAATGCCTTGCCTTTCCTCATTACTTAGTTCTCCTTTACTCAACCTTCAGGCGCCAGCTTGACTGTCTTCCTTGGGGACGCTTCTTTGACCTTGGTACACCAGATCAGCCCCTTGCTGACTTTGTCTCATTGGTAATATTTCTCTACCTTTAGGACACATATCAAGGCCCAGAAGTCAGTTTTGCGTTTGTTCGTGTGATCATTTGATGCATGTCTCTCTCTGGAGCCTGACTCTTTGGGGCTCACGTCCTGTCTGCACCAGTTTTAGGTGTGTGGGACCTTGAACAAATCATTTCATCTCTGGTCCCCAGTTTCTTTTAACTTCAAAACAGGGATGATCTAATACTTTCACTTACATTGTGAAGTCGGGATGAAGATTAAATAGGGTAATTTGTGTAAAGCTCTTAGAACAGAGCTAGCTATTAATAGTAGAGAATCTTGGCAGGTATTTCTGATGATTACTACAGTAGACCACAAGCTCCATACAGGCAGGGCTCATTTCTGTTTGTTTAGATTTGTATGCAGGGTGCTTGGCACAGGCATGGTGCTCAGGAAATATTTGTTGGATGAATGAAGTGGAGATAATAGTAATATCATGTTTATAGAATTCCATGAAGATATAAAATAATGCAAGTATATACTTTCCTGGTAGCATGTGTAGCTCATAGTAGGCGGTCAATAAATACCCAATGCCTAAATGAGGAAAATGGGGACAATAGTAATACCAACTTATGAGGTTGTCGTGGGGATCTAAGGTAACCCTGTAGTACCTTGTAGAGTGCCTAGCACATAGTAGGTGCTCAGAAAGTATTTGTTGAATGAATAAGTGAAATGGGGATGATGGTAACACCAGCTCCTAGAATTGCTGCGGGGATAGAAGATAAGGCACGGTGGTAGCATGTTGTATTGTGGTTGTGCCTGGTAGACACTCTATTGAGTGAAATGAGAGGAGCTGTTGTGAGTTTCTTTCTCCTGGGGCTTAGGAGAGAATCCTTTTGGGGTGCAGAATGTTATGGAGCAGACACTGGTCCTCTTTTTTTTTTTCTTTTTTTTTGAGACAGAGTCTTGCTCTGTCTCCAGGTGCCAGGCTGTAGTGCAGTGGTGCGATCTCAGCTCACTGCAACCTCTGCCTCCCAGGTTCAAGCAATTCTCCTGCCTCAGGCTCCCAAGTAGCTGGGACTACAGATGCACGCCACCATACCCAGCTAGTTTTTATATTCTAGTAGAGATGGGGCTTCACTGGGTTGGCCAGGATGGACTCAGTCTCCTGACTTCATGATCTGCCCGCCTCGGCCTCCCAAAGTGCTGGGATTACAGGAATGAGCCACCCCGCCAGGCCAACACTGGTCCCCTTGAAGGAAAAATGGGCAGCTGACTAATCCTTGCCAAGCTCTGGCCTGGATGAAAAATTGAATCATTCCTTTCCCTCTTCCTCCCTAACCTGTTCTTTCTTTCCACTAGAATCCTTGCCCAGAGTCCAGCACCTCCTTCCTGTCCAGGATCACCTTCTGGTGGATCACAGGGTAAGGCTGGGTACTGGAGACCTCAGGGAGGTGGTGGGGAATGAATGAATGAACATGCTGAGCTCCCCGCTTGACTTCTCTCTCCTTCATTCTTCTGCATAGTTGTCTTGAATCTGCCTGTGCTGGCCCTGTAGTCTAAGAGACACCAGCCCTGTCCCTCAAATCCATCACCTTGAATGTGATATACGCATGAGCCATGAACAGCTTAAATATCTGCAGGAGGCTTGGCCTGGGACAGCCATACACTGGACTGCTTCTTGCTTTAGCTTCAGATTTGGGTTTTTATTTTTATTTTTTGCCTAGACATTAAGTTCGACCTCACAGATTTGGGTTTTTTAAATATTAGGTATAGTTATTATTGACATTGTTCCCCTCCCATGCCCCACTTCTTAGAAAAATACTGTCTCACCATAGGCAATGTGGGTTTAAAAAACACATGTGCAGATCTGTAGTAAGGAAACACCCAGAGGCAACCACTGTCACCATTTTAGTATGCGTCCTTCTGGTCTTTTCTTTTTGAGATGGAGTCTCCCTCTGTCTCCCAGGCTGAAGTGCAGTGGCACAATCTCAGCTCACTACAACCTCTGCCTCCTGGGTTCAAGCGATTCTCCCGATTCAGTCTCCCAGGTAGCTAGGATTACAGGGGTGCCATCATGCCTGGCTAACTTGTATTTTTTAGCAGAGACAGGATTTTGCCATGTTGGCCAGGCTGGCCTTGAACTCCTGACCTCAGGTGATCCACCCACATTGGCCTCCCAAAGTGCTGGGATTACAGGTGTGAGCCACCATGCTCAGCCACCTTGTGGTTTTTTGGTTTTTTTTTTTTGCACATCTTTTTCTGCCCATTGTCAACATCTTATTGGGGATTATTTGAAGAATCTTTCTTTCACCCTAATATGCATTATCTTTTTTTTTTTTTTTTTTTTTTTTTTAGACAGGCTTTCACTCCGTTGCTGAGGCTGGAGTGCTGTGGCACAATCATTGTTCACTGTAGTCTTGATCTACTGGGTTCAGGTGATGGTCCTGCCTCAGCCTCCTGAGTAGCTGGGACTATAGTAGGCATACTCTACCATGCCCAACAGATTTTTGTATTTTTTGCAAAGATGGGGTTTTACCATGTTGCCCAGGCTGGTCTCTAACTCCTGAGCTTAATGATTCTTCTGCCTCAGCCTCACAGAGTGCTGGGATTGTAGGAATGAGCCGCCATGCATGGTCTCATTCTTCTCTTGATGAACTTTTTACAAACATCTTTTTAAAAGATTAGATGTTTTAAATAACTTCTTCAAATTACTATTAAGGAGCATCACTGGGATAGTTGATGTAATTTGTATATGACTGCAGGACACCAGATGCATGCTAATAACATTCATTTTTGTTTTGGAAAATGGTTTTCCAGTTATATAAGAGCATGTGCTGGATTGTAAGGGGATACCCCTAGTTTTTTGGGGGTAAAGATATGTAGAGCCTACATCTTAACTTTTTTTTTTTTTTTTTTTTTGAGACAGTCTTGCTCTGTTGTCCAGACTGGAGTGCAGTGGTGTGATCTGCAGCCTCTGCCTCCTCAGTTTAAGCTATTCTCCTGCCTCAGCCTCCCGAGTAGCTGGGACTACAGGTACGCGCCACCATGCCCAGCTAATTTTTTGTATTTTTAGTAGAGACGGGGTTTCACCATGTTGACCAGGATGGTCTTGATCTCTTGACCTCGTGATCCACCCGCCTCGGCCTCCCAAAGTGCTGGGATTACAGGCGTGAGCCACCGCGCCCAGCCTCACACCTTTAATGTTAGAAATTTGGGAGGCCAAGGTGGGTGGATCACCTGAGGTCAGGAGTTTGAGACCAGCCTGGCCCACGTAGTAAAATGCTGTCTCCACTAAAAATACAAACATTAGCCAGGCATGGTGGTAGGTGCCTGTAATCCCAGCTACTTGGGAGGTTGAGGCAGGAGAACCGCTTGATCCCAGGAGGCAGAGGTTACAATGAACCGAGATTGCGCCACTGTATGCAGTGGCGTAGAATCACGTAGAATAATATAATAAAACTCAATAAGCTTATCACACAGGTTTCTTGATTGCTAATGCTTTGTTGTGTCAGTCTTTTTTTTTTACGCCCCCTCAACCTGTTTTTTTTTGGGGGGGTCTGGCTCTGTTGCCCAGGCTTGAGTGCAGTGACACGATCACAGCTCCCTGCAGCCTCCACCTTCTGGCCTCGAGCAGTCCTCCCACCTCAGCCTCTTGAGTAGCTGGGACTAGTTGTGCGACATTATGACTGGGTAATATTTTTTATTTTTCCTTTTTGTAGAGATGGTCACCCAGTGTTGCCCAGGGTGGTCTTGAACTCCAAGTTCATGAAGCTCTCCCACATGAGCCTCCTGAAATGCTAGGATTATAGGCATGAGCTACTGGTCCTGGCCCATATTAGTGTTTTTTAATGTAAAATTTTAAAAAGTTGGTGGGGCATCATGGCTCGTGCCTATAATCCCAGCACTTAATGAGGCCAAGGTGGGAGGATTGCTTGAGCCCAGGAGCTCAAGATCAGCTTGGGCAACATAGGGTGACTCTGTCTCTATAGAAATAAAAAATAAAAAATATTTAGCCACTCATAATGGCTCACACCTGAAGTCCCAGCTACTCAGGAGGCTGAGGTGGGAGGATCACTCTAGGCCAGAGCTGGAGGCTGCAGGGAGCCGTGATCGTGCCATTGCACTCCATCCTGGGTGGCACAGCGAGACCCTGTAACCAAATAAATAAAGGAAAGAGGCCCTGTAATCCCAGCATTTTGGGAACCCGAGGGTGACAGATTGCCTGAGCTCAGGAGTTTGAGACCAGTCTGGGCACCATGGTGAAACCGTGTCTCTACTAAAATACAAAAAATTAGCCAGGTGTGGTAGTGTGTGTCTGTAGTCCCAGACTTGGGAGGCTGAGGCAGGAGAATTGCTCGAACCTGGGAGGCAGAGGTTGCAGTGAGCCAAGAACACGCTACTGCACTCCAACCTGGGTGACATAACGAGACTTCATCTCAAAAAAGCCAAAAAAAAAAAAAAAAAAGTAAATGAATGATAAAAAATAAAGAGTGAATTAGAGCCATCTTGATATTTTCCTCCAAAATCATATTTTTTCCCTGAAACTTGTCTCTGCACCCCCCAAAAGAAAGCCATTTTTTCTTTGTGACCCAACAGAATGAGCTGTAATAACCTTGTAATATGTGCAAATGTGTATCCACATACAGACATCCCCAGCTGTGTGGCTGCCTTCGTTTGCAGCAGGCAGTTGTGCTGGGGAGGGGTGCAGCATTGGCATGTGTGTGTGAGCCCCGTCTTCCCCCTCCTCTAATTGACTCTCATTGCCTAACCCCCTTGTGTCTTGGCCTCAGGTTGATCATCCTGGGCAGCCACCAACCCCTGGAGAGCAGTGGCCTCTGGTCCTTAAACAAGGAGGACACATCGGAATAAGTCATGCCTGCTTTGGTAAAGAACTGGAAGAAGAAATGCACCAAGTCTAGGAAGTAAGTGTGAGTTTCCTTGTCCTCTAGGATGCCCTGGTTCCCTTCTTCCTGCCCTGTGGCCTGAATCCAGGCTGCGGCCCTGGCAGTGCTGCTTGTTACTAGCTTTGTGGTTCTCGCTTCTCCTCCGGGCGTCAGTTTGTTTTTCTGCTAAATGGGGTAAAATCTCACAAGTCATTAAGGCAACTGAGTAGAAAAGAAGAGAGAAGCTGGGCATGGTGCCTCACGTCTGTAATCTCAGCATTTTGGGAGGCCAAGGCAGGTGGATCACAAGGTCAGGAGTTTGAGACTAGCCTGGCCAACATGGTGAAACCCCATCTCTACTGAAAATACAAAAGTTAACTGGGTGTGGTGGCAAGTGCCTGTAATCGCAGCTACTTAGGAGGCTGAGGCAGAAGAATCGCTTGACCCTAGGAGGCGGAAGTTGAAGTGAGCCAAAGTTGCACCACTGCACTTCAGCCTGGGAGACAGAGTGAGACTCCATCTTGAGAAAAGAGGAGAGAAAAACGCTGCCCAAGCAGGCAGTTGATGCTGTTTGCCATGGCACGTGACTGTCCCTCCTTGAGTCAGTCTCACTTTTTCTCTTTCTGAGCATCTGGCATCCTGCATGTTCTTGCTGTTTTGAAGTATTTCTGTCCAACACACCCAGCTGACCATGTACTTTTATTTAGCCAAAGAAGCCCCATTTGCGTGTAATTTGGGCTGTATTGGATTTTAGACTCTACCTCCTATGTAAGGTGTGCCCCACTGTGCCACCTCTGTCATTCTTTTGGGAATCAGGTCAGGGCCTCCACTGCATCTACCCTAACTCTTCAAGCCTGAGACATAGTCAGCACGATACGTTATGATTGTGTGTAACAGTAAGAAAGAAAAACAACTGGCTGGGTGTGGTGCCTCACGCCTGTAATCCTAGTACTTTGGGAGTCTGAGGCGGGTGGATCATAAGGACAAGAGATCGAGACCATCGTGGTGAAACCCCATCTCTACTAAAAATACAAAAAAAATTAGCTGGGCATGGTGGTGCATGCCTGTAGTTCCAGCTACTTGGGAGGCTGAGGCAGGAGAATTGCTTGAACCCGGGAGGCAGAGGTTGCAGTGAGCTGAGGTCGTGCCACTGTACTCCAGCCTGGCACGTGGTGACAGAGTGAGACTCTGTCTCAAAAAAAAAGAAAGAAAACAACTGCCAGTTAAATAAGGATGTAAGACGCATCCTGAGCCCAGACGAGCTGGAACGTCAAATTGCAAGTGATGTGGGGGCAGTAGATTGTGGCCATGGGGGCAGTAGGGTGGCTGTTTTTGATTCTGTTGCCTGTTCTGGGATAAGCTTACTATGGTAAGCTGTGACAGAGCCAGCCTGGTGCATTGGATTCTCCACAGATCCGTTGACCTTACAGAGACTTTTTTTTTTTTTTTTTTTTTGAGATGAAGTGCGATCCACTATACACAGGTGCGATCCACCATACACAGCTGAGCTCTGGTTTATATCAACCTAGGTTGCCCTGGGAAAGGTAGATATCAGGCATGAGAGTGAAGGCAGGAAGACCTGGGTGGGAACCTCAAGGCCTGTCCATGAAGTTCCTTCAGTTCCTTCATGCCTCACTGGGAGCCTCCATTATTTTGACACAGGCTTTTGTCCTGGCTATAGTGCAGTGATGCCATCTCAGCTCACTGCAGCCTCCATTGCCTAGACTGGAGTGATCCTCCCACTTCAGCCTCATGAGTAGCTGGGTCTATGGCAGAGGCTGCAGTGAACGGAGATCATGCCACTGCACTCCAGCCTGGGAGACAGAGTGAGAATTCGTCTATTGACCAGCATGGAGAAACCCCATATCTACTAAAAATATAAAAAATAATTTTTGAAGAGAAAGTTTGTCAGTGCACCCTGGTAAAGTCAAGGGACTAAGGTATAAGAAGAATGTGATGTACAAGGCAGAATGCAGGGGCACTGGAGCTAGAAGTGATCTTAGGGAACATGGAGTCACAGAAGAGCAATGAGATGCAATTTCTTGCTCAACTCCAGTCCGCTGGCAGCAGTCACCTGGGGGGCTGCTTGAACGTAACTCAGTGGGAAAGAATGCCATGAGTGACTGTGGGTGTCTGCTGTGTGCATGAGAAGGAAGGGAAGGGCCCAGTATTTGACATGCTTGAGAGCTAACCCCTTCATTTTCCATATGACAAAATCTAGAGCCAGGGAGGTCAGCTAACTGGCTTCGGGGTCACGCTGTGAGCTGGCAGTAGAATGTGGCAGGTGACCTGCCTTTCAGAAGAACATTCCTCTAAGCCAGGGGCTGGCCAAAACTGGACTGAGGTCCACATACGGCTCATGAGCTCAGCATGGATTTCATTTTTTAATTTTTTTGAGACAGAGTCTTGCTCTGTTGCTCAGGCTGGAGTGCAGTGGTATGACCTTGGCTCAACGTGACCTTCACCTCCCAGGTTAAAACAATTCTGGTGCCTCAGCCTCCCAAGAAGCTGGGATGACCATCATGGTCCACCTTGCCTGGATAATTTTTTTGTGGTTCACAGCGTCTCCCTCTTTTGCCCAGTCAGGAGTGCAGTGGCATGATCTTAGCTCACTACAACTTCCCCCTTTTGGGTTCAAGTGATCCTCCTGCCTCAGCCTCCTGAGTAGCTGTGATCACAGGTATGCACCACTACACCTAGCAAATTTTGTTTTTAATACAGACCAAGTTTTACCATGTTGGCCAGGCTGGTATCAAACTCCTAGACTGAAGCAACTCGCCTACCTTTTGTGAGTAGTGCTGAGATTACAGGCATGAGTCACAGCACCCAGTCAGATTTTGTATTTTTAACGGTGAAAAAAAAAAATCAAAACAATATTACATGACAGATGAAAATGCGTTAAAATTTAAATTTTAGTGTTTCTAAATCCATATTTACAGGAACACAGTCAACACCCATCAATTTCCATATTATCTAAGGCTGCTTTTCCACTATGCGGGAAGAGACAAGTATTTGTGACAAACACCATATGGCCCGGAATGCTGAAAGTTTCCAGAAAAAGTTTCTTTACTCCTCCTTTCTTCCAGTGTCTCTTGAACTTTAATGGGCATACACACCACCTAGAGAACTAGTTACAATTCAGATTCTGTTTCAGTGGATCTGGGCAGAGGCCTAAAATTCTGCAGTTAATAAGCACCAGGTGATGCCATGGCTGCTGGTCCAAGGACCACCCTTTGAGTAGTGAGGATCAACTCCAGTGTGTCTCTACATGTCGACCTGAACCAGCAGCAGCAGTACCTGGGGACATGTTAGGAATGCAGATACTCAGGTCCAGATCTAGTAAACTGAAAATCTGAGTGGGACCCAGAAAGCTGCATTTTATAGTAACAAGCTGTTAGCTAACAGTGGCTCACACCTGTAATCCCAGCACTTTGGGAGGCCGAGGCAAGTAGATCACCTGAGGTCAGGAGTTTGAGACCGGCCTGGCCAATATGGTAAAACATCATCTCTACTAAAAATATTTTTTACATTAGCCAGGTATGTTGCACGCCTGTAATCCCAGCTACTCAAAGGCTAAGGTGGAAGAATCACTTGAACCCAGGAGGCGGAGGATGCAGTGAGCCAGTATCACACCAGGGCACTCCAGCATGGGAGACAGAGAGTCCATCTCAATCTTTCCATAGTCCATCTCTATATGGTCTCCTGATGTGGGGCCAGCTTTGCAAAATGGTAAGTTTCACTTTTTTTTTTTTTTTTTTTTTTTGAGATGGAGTTTTGCTCTTGTTGCCCAGGCTGGAGTGCAATGGCGTGATCGCAGCTCACTGCAACCTCCGCCTCCTGGATTCTAGTGATTGTCCTGCCTCAGCCTCCTGAGTAGCTGCGATTACAGACGTGAGCCACACCTGGCTAATTTTGTGTTTTCAGAAGAGACAGGGTTTCATCATTTTGGTCAGGCTCATTTCGAACTCCTGACCTCCAGTGATCCACCTGCTCCTCTGCCTCCCAAAGTGCTGGGATTACAGGTGTGAGCCACTGTGCCTGGCCTGCACTGTTGTCTTTAAACTTTTCAAAGCCAGCTAGGCATGGATAGACCTGTCACTGTACCCCAGGACAGGCACCAGAACACTCAGTGTAGCATGGATTATGATAGTAAAAAACAGGGAACAACCTGTTTTTGCAATGAATGGGAGAAAGGTAATGCCAGCAGAGCACATCCACATGCCAGACAAGCATGCATCATGAACACAAATGAAGCAAGCCAGGCATGGCAGTGGTGTACCTGCAGTCCCAGCTACTTGGGAAGCTAAAGCAGGAGGATTTCTTGAGCCCAGGAGTTGGAGGCTGTAGTGAGCTATGATTACACTAGTGTACTCCAGCCTGGGGGACAGAGCATGACCCTATTTCAAAACCAAAACTTAAAAAAAAAAGCAGATCATAATGAACCCAGATGATGTACAGTATGATCTTATTTAAATCTGTCAAAATGTTTTTTAAAAACTATATGCTTATACATTTTCTTCTAAAAGCATGCACAAAACTGTCACTTTGGAGGAGAGAAACTGATGGAAGAGAAGACAATATACTTTTTATATCTTTCTGTATGATTTGATTATATTTTTATTTTTTTCCCTACAGTGGATGAGAAGTATTTGTTCAGTACCTGCTGTGCATTGTTTTATGTACTGAAGATACAGCAGCCTACCTGGAGCTGACATTCTAATGGGGAAAGAAAATAAAGTAAGTACACTTTAAAAAGTTCAATTTTTTTTTTTTTTGAGACCAGGTCTTGCTCTGTTGCCCAGGCTAGAGCGCAGTGGCTCAATTTTGGCTCATTGCAACCTTTGCATCCCAGGTTCAAAGGATTCTCATGTCTCGGCCTCCTGAATAGCATCATCATGCCCAGGTTTTTTTTTTTTTTTGTGCAAAGACAGGGTTTTCCCAGGTTGGCCAGACCAGTCTGGAGTCCCTGGCCTCAAGTGATCCACCTACCTTGGACTTCCAAGGTGCTGGGATTACTGGTGTGAGCCACCATACCCAGCCCAAAATAACTAAATTTTAGAGTGTGTTTATACCATTCCATAGCTGTGGGCTAACCACACTTGACACGTGGTCCGTGGGACACTGACAATCCACACTTTGTGACCAGTTGGTGATAATATGAGGAGGCAGCACCATAATGGAGATCAGCTATTGTACCAAGCTTGCCATTCAGCTCAGCTCACTTTTTTCTTACAAGGCTTTCTTAATGCAGGAAGCAGAAGGCACTGGTTTCCATCCTGGCACAAACACCTTAACCTGCCATGTTGGCTAGGCTGGTCTTGAACTCCTGGCCCTAAGTGATCTGCCAGCCTTGGCCTCAAAAGTGCTAGGATTACAGGCAGGAGCCACCATCCCTGACTGCCACCTGCTCATTTATTAAAGCCCCCTTTGATGTACTTGCAACCAAGACTGAAAATCCCTGGCGCAGATTGGCTCCCTGCGAGCAGGAATAATCTGCAGCCCCTGCTTCCCTTCTAGGCATGTGTATGTCTCCCTGTGGCTGTTTCTGTGCGATGCTACATTTTTGAGTTGTGCTTTTATTCGTGTTACCTGAGCATGTTCCCACAGTCTCTCTGACCATGCTGTCAGCTGCATATTCATCCTTTTTGTATCTTCCATCCTGGGTCCTCTCCCACCTCTTCTGTGGTCAGTCCTTTGATGCCTTAAATTGTGCTGCTTTCTCTCCTGCACCAAAGAATGAAGTAGCCAGTGCAGAGTGGGGGCTGTAGTCATCATTGTCACTGAGGTATTGTGACCTAGGAAAGATATATGATCTGTTACAACACAGCACAGTGCCCTTGACAGATGTTGGCTGCCTTTGTCATTGTTGATGTTCTGGTGATTATTGTTGATGCTGGGTGGATTCTTCCTGAGAATGGGGCAGTTACCCAGCTGTCCTGTCCCTTGGTGCTTTTTATCAGGATCCTTCCTTAAGTCTGCAGCCAAGCCATCTGCCAGGGCTTGGGTCTCATATGAAGACTCAACTGGGGAAGGGCCCACTTTGAAGCTTACCTGGTTGTTGGCAGAACTTGGTTCCCTAGTTGTTCATATATTGAAATACTTTATTACTATGGAAACAGCCAGTGCCCCAGGTGCTTTTCACAATGAACTCTTGGGAGCTTTCTGTGATCTGGAAAATAAAGGGTTAATTAATTCCTGGCACTGCAGGGGTACCTGGGCCTCTGATGACCTCAAACTGATTATCTATTTTGAATATCACCTCTTCTTACAGTGCTTGGGAACCAAGAGGCTATGCCCTTCCCTTCTTGCGTTTTCTTACATCCTGGTCCTGGGAAGTGAGCTTCACAGAGCAGAGATGCTGTTATCTGGGCTGGGTTTTACCCGTCGCTGCTGGTACAGGATGCTGGCTCAGGCCCAACAGCATGAAAACTTTACGAAGCATACACAAGTTTCAGTACTGAATTGATCAGGTTGAAGAAAGGATATCAGAGATTGAAAAGAAATGAACGAAGCCTCCAAGAAATGTGGGATTATGTGAAAAGACCAAATCTATGTTTAATCAGTGTACCTGAATGTGAGAGGGAGAATAAAACCTAGTTGGAAAACACTCTTCAGGATATTTTCCAGGAGAAGTTCCTTAACCTAGCAAGGCAGGCCAACATTCAAATTTAAGAAATACAGAGAACATGGCAAAGATATACCTCCAGAAGAGCAACCCCAAGGCACATAATCACCAGATTCACTAGGGTTGAAATGAAGGGAAAAATGCTAAGGGCAGCCAGAGAGAAACATCAGGTTACCCACAAAGGGAAGCACATCAGACTGACAGCAGATCTCTCAGTAGAAACCCTACAAGCCAGAAGAGAGTGGGGGCCAATATTCAACATCCTTAAAGAAAAGAATTTTCAATCCAGAATTTCATGTCCAGTCAAACTAAGCTTCATAATTGAAGAAATAAAATCCTTTACAGATCAGCAATTGCAGAGAGATTTCATCACCACCAGGCCTGCCTTACAAGAGCTCCTGAAGGAACCACTAAACATGTAAAGGAACAACCAGTACCAGCCACTACAAAGTAATTTGATCCACTGAAGATTTATACTGGCAAAAATACAGATGTCACACTAGTACAATTTAAAAGTCAAAGTATTAATATTTAAACTTTAACCAAATTTCATATTTTTTGTATTGGGGAAAACATTTCCTAAGGTGATTTTTCTGTTGCTATGTATCTTCCAGTTCATTTTTGTTTAGCCCCCACCCTGTCACAGTACTTTTGTCACAATCTTTTGTTACCAACATTAATAAAAATTTTTAATCAACTAGCCATATGTCTATAGTTTTGTTTGGCCAACTTTCCATAACCATCATAAAACAATAATAGGTAAACCACTGCTAAATTTAAAAAAAGTAAATACTATGCAAAAGTTGACTGAGTGAGAAAATTTTACAAGAGACCACTTTACCTTGGTAGTAACAGGTCTTCATCATCTGGTTTAGGGCATGAATCCACACACAGTTCATGGAAAATGCTTTAGAGCAAAAATGTACAATAAAAATGAGCAAGCTGATTTTTTTTTTTTTTTTTTTTTTTTTTTAAATTTTTTATTTTTTCCAGTTCATATTCAGCGTCCCCCTCCAACAAACAAAAATGCAATCTGGAAAAAGGTCAGCTTTCTGTATATTAAATAACATTTCTTGATACAATTAAAATATGGCCTCTGTTCTAAAAATAGATTTTGGTTACTTATTTTTGCCTCTGGCTGTCTAAACCTATAATATATTCAATGAAAACTGACCTTGAGCTTCATAATAAATAGTGACAGCCAATATATTGACAGAGCTTGACAATAATTTACCCTCACAAATTATCTTTCCTGAAGCAGAACGTGAAATTCAATTAATGGATGACATAACTTTTGTCACCTAAACTGGAAGGAACCTTATGACCTAAAACAAGGTACAAAGATCCACTGTCCCTTGTCTATCTCTGATTAAAAGACTAATCTATGTCACTTCAAAATGGCTCTCTTGATTCCTCAGCATAGAAACCACTTAAGAAGGTCCCAGTGCTTTCCTTTGTTCTAAAAGAACACAGAGAATCCCCTGCTGTATTTGAATTGTGTGAGAGTTAAATGTGCAAAAGTCTAATAACAAAGGTATATTTTCTTATTGAGGATACTCTTCCCAGAAAGATTAAAACATTAACATTATAAAAATCCAATTATTTTCACTTTATACATCCTACCTTATTCAGGTCCACATAAACTAATAAGCCCTTAAAAACCTTCATAGGCACTCAGATATCCAACGAGAGGGACTGCTAGAAAAACAGAGTCCTGGCAGTTGTACCTCTATTTCCCTAAGTACTATCTAAATATCTTTCTGTGGTTTCCCACTTCCAGATTCCACCTATGCAGGGCTCCATGGCAGTTTCCAATCTTCAAATCTTGAGTCTGTGAAAGCACAGATCCCTGAAATGATGGCCTCAAATGACCAGGAGTGGGAGCGCTTTATATCCCTGCTCCTGAAATAACAACCTAACTGGAGTCTCTACTAACTACCAGCACAGACACACCTCCAGCTACCCAGCTGAATTTCATGATTAATTTGATAGCCAGCAATGCCCCTGACCGAGTCTGCATAGATATGGGAAGGACTTCAGTGAATTGGGAAAAAAGGCAGAGATGAGGAGATACCTGCCTTGGGCCACAGATCTATGCAGTTAAGCTATCTCCAGCCCATCAGTACCCAAGGGGCTCTAAGCCACCCCTCTGCAAGTCAGGATGGAATTAGATGATACCACATTTCTGTCTGCTGTAGAGATTCCTCCCAGGGTCTTCAAATGTTTTATTATCTTACAGCAAAAATCTTGAGGTTTGTCAGTTCTTGATATAAAAAAAGCACAGCAATCTGTTTAGAGCTTCCTTGAACCCTCTATTTTAATGTGCCTTTGTAGATAACTCCCACTATCTTATGTCCTTTATCTTTTTATCAGACTTGTCATAAACCCCAATTTTCTAATCTCTTATTGAATAATCTCTATCCAGTGTTGTTTTCCCTCAAACTTGGCCTTCCCCTGCTCATTCCATTCTTAGCCATAGCCATTGAGTTCACCAGCTAATTCCATTCTCATTCTATCCACTGGGTGCACCAGACTCACTCCCCCTTTGTATTATTAAAATATGCCAGGCCAGGTGTGGTGGCTCACACCTGTAATCCCAGCACTTTGGGAGGCTGACACAGGCAGATCACCTGAGGTCAGGAATTTGAGACCAGCCTGACCAACATGGAGAAACCCCATCTCTACTAAAAATAGAAAATTATCAGGGCATGGTGGTGCATGCTTGTAATCCCAGATACCCAGGAAGCTGAGGCAGGAGAATCGCTTGAACTCGGGAGGCGAAGGTTGCGGTGAGCTGAGATTGTGCTATTGTACTCCAGTCTGGCAACAGTAGCGAGACTCTGACTCAAAAAAAAGAAGAAAAAAAAAAACAAAACCCAAAAACAAAAAAACATGCCAATAGAATAAAAAAAGAAGGAAGAGTATTGGACTTTAAAACGAGTTCAAATCTCATTTCTACCATGTCTTATGTCTGAAAAAAAGCATCCTAATCTCTTTGATTCTGAAGTTCTCTATCTAGAAAATCATTTGACCAGGACGTTCAACACAGATTGAAGTACTAGAGGATATTTTAATTTGTCCTAAGATTCCTTAAATTTCTGTAATTCTATGTGCTTTTGGTTCTGTCTATAGGAAAATTGGGAATACATAGCCAGAGGAATTTGAAAACATAACAAGAAACACCAAGGAAGAAAAATCATGGAAAAAGCAAAACAAAAAATAAAAAAGCATTATGGAAGTAGGGAGAAATACTAGCCTACAAGGAAAACAGAACTGGGAAGTTAAATAATTTCTCTCCAAGACTTGCCAAATCTTCATTTTGTAAAACATCCAGTCCTATGGCCAAACTTTTACTCTGCCCTAAGGGCTTTGATGGTTAATTAAAAAAAAAGTTGCTGGTTACCACAAAAATTGTCAAATTTATTAGGACAAACTCAAGGACTAACCTCATTTCTAACAGTAACTTAAAATGAGAGTTCAACTTAAACTCATTAATTTAGACATTGATTAACATAATTAATCTGACTATTCTTATTCAGACCTATACATTGATAAAAGGGCTGCACAGATAACTCTATCAATCTGTACTGAGGACCAAGAGAAAAGATTTGAAAGCCAGATAGGCTGACTTGACAGTCAAACTGTTGGTGAGCTACTTTGTGAACTATGGGATCATGATCCAATTAACCTCTCTAAACCACAGTTACCTATTTAATAAACAGTAGGTTATAAGAAAACACATTGTGATGGCTTTATGAAATAAATACATAGCACATAATAGGGTATTTAGCCCAGAATACAACAGTCAATAGATGTTTTTTTCATCTATATTTTCTTAGTTAACAATTTTTTACATCTGTAAAATCCTACCTGACTGCAGATTCATCGGAACTCCCAGAATCTATTAAAGAAAAAGGTAAAATGCATTTTAAATCAATAATGTATAGAATATTAAAACCATAAGAATGTACAGTCTTGCATGCTTGTAATTTCAACTATTTGGGAGGCTGAGGAAGGAGGATCACTTGAGAAACCCAGAAGTTTGAGATCAGTTTAGGAAACATAGCAAGACTCTACCTTCATTTAAAAAAAAAAAAGTATGCACAGTTGTGTACATAATTTAGATCACTCTTCTTTAAAGTATGGGACTTATGTATACAAAGTATTCCTTTGGAACCATACCTGGGACCTTATTAGAATTAATATAAATTATACCTATTGGTATGTAATTAATGAAGTAAGAACTCTTACCTCCCTTTTTATTTATTAAATATAAAGAATAAATTTATCAAAATTTAATATGTACAAGTGAACTGCAGTATACAAGTCATCCTAGCCAAACCCTATGAAACTGGCTAAAAGTGATATTAGCAGAACAGATAGAATGAGTGACCAGTGTCAAACAGCATGATTTCTGGACCAAAATATGAGGGGGCAGTTAAAACAGAGTAAACAGTAGTACCCCTTATCCACTGTATGTGTGGAAAAGACACACTTCCCATGTTTTTCTCTGCTTTCACATCGCAGCAACAAACATCAACAAAGAAGTCTTCTGTGACCAAATGTGTGGAAAGGTTTTCCCCACCAACAAGCAACCAATCACGTCTGCAGATGACACAAACTGGGTGTCATCTAATTCAGTTCTCACTGCAGATAGCATCTGATTCCACAGGTAAAGGGCTCAGTCCCATGAGACTGCCTCCCTACATCAGTCCTAAGTCTGAAACTCCAGAACTTCTGACCAATCAGCTTCAAATTGGGGTTCTTAGGACTCCC